TATGTGTGTTAAATATATATATATATATATATATATATTTATGCTCATTTCATAACTAACTCTCTTTACTTTTCTCTTTTTACTCTTACCTTAAAATGTTTAACTTGTTGTTGTTATTACTATTATTAATTGTATTTTTACAGTACACCAAGACACATTCCTTGAACATGTATACATTTACTTGGCAATACAGGCGATTCTGATTCTTTATATTCATTGTATAAGGGCCATATAGTGCTTTACTGACATGCAAATATAGGTCAGGCCAATTAATCAATATTTATAAACTTATTTATTTTTTTGTATTTGGACGTTATAGCCAGCATATAACCGTGCACACTTATGCAAATATTATGCAAATATCGGTAGTTTTACTGTCAGCCTTACCTAACTGAATAATTAACATTTTGTTTGTTTTTATTAAATTATTATAGTAAATAGTTTTTAAAATAACCGTTTAATTCCACATTTAATTTCATATATATAAAAATCAACATTATACATGTAATGAATCACCTTGCTCTATAAACACCTGTATCGATTAAAAACGCAAATCAGTTTTTATTGTATTTTCTTCTCAAAATCAAAACTTTGCACTTTACATGTAAGTGAGAAAACGATGTATAAAGTCTTGTTTGATTTGATGCATTACATTCATTTGCTTCAAAATGAACTTGTACGCTAAACATCTGCAGTGCTCTCTGCGAACACAAAGTCGCGATGTAAATAGTAACAACGCTAAATATCTCCGTGATGTATCTGCACTGCAACACGACTTCAATGAGTGATTCGCTTTGAATGGGCTTAGAACAACTGGAAATATCTACTTTTAAAAACATAATCGATTTGCTTGTCAACGTTCCCGGAATCACTATTTTCTTGTAATGTGGTTTGATATCTTCGTCATGGTTTATTTCTTTCTTCAGCCACAGATGCCTGACTGTATCTCATCCTCTCTATTACTGTAGGCGCCATGTTTGTTCGGAGTCTCTATTCAAACCCATTGCTTATATGTTCAAATCTATATAGCGTTTTACTCGAAACGCTAGACACCCATGAGAACCGCGGGCGCAATTAATATTCAATTATACTGCATAACCTACGTCATAACGCAAAAACACAAACCGCCTGGACTTTTCGCTCACTTACTAAAAACATCGTCTCTGTCTCTTTAAATATAATAAAAAGCCTGCCCATAATCGCCTATCAATCAATCTAAGGGACGTCGGGCTATCCCTCCCCACCAGTGCCGCCGCCATTCGCACTTCTACAAAAGATCATAAAAAAGAGCTGGGCCTTGACTGCGAGTCGAGCCAGAAAATCTCCCCCGAAACCGCCGTCCAAACATCCGATTTCAGCCCAAAACCATCCAGACCGCGCGCCTCCCACGGAAGCGCCGAGTGCATTTTTAGCGCGCGGCCCAGATCGCTTGATTGATAGGGAGTCGGAAAAGAAGCTTTTGAGTGACAGCTTACCTTAGTGCCAATCTTCGTCACAATGACAAGCGGCTGCAGCAATCGGGACCCGCTGCTCTTCCATGTCGTCACAGCGTAACGGCACGCAGGCAACTTTGCTCATGAATATTTATGAGGTGGGAGGAGACATTACGGTATAGGGAAAAGCGCTCGCCCCCTGAGACTTCTGTCTGTGGGGGCAATGTTGCATGCATATTATTACAAAAGAGATTTTGCATGGTGCTCGGACGTCTTAAACGGTCATCCAGAGCGTTAAATAAAATAAAATAAATCAATAAAGCACAGTGTGAAAATGTTAACGTTCCAGCTACTTTATTTTTTGCTTTCCCTTTCTTGTTTTTTCCTGTAACCGCAAATAACTTAGCGATTTATAAACTGACGTATTTCAAATATTAGTATCATAAACGGCATGCTTCTGTGAGCTTTTCATTTTGAGCTGCTTTCATCCAGTTCAGGCTCTGAAAAAAAGATGAAAAAAAAAAAAGTTAATCTGAACTTTCATAATCATTCTAAATGCGCAACAAAAATGGGGTAACTCAAACAGAGCAAAGGCAAAAATATATACCCACCAGAGAACTTAAATTCTGGGAACTCGGTTAAGTCTCCACTCCCATAGAGTCTCTGGAGTTTGTTTAGTTCTTCACTAAAAGCGTTCTCATATTCTGGTCCAGCATCTACAGGGCCACCAGAGGCTCTGTGGACAACACAGAGTGTTATTAAGAATATGTGAGAAGTTTGATATATATTGGAATGCATGGAATGTTTTAATGTTATCTGATTTATGTAGTATATACAGGCTCTTTGTGGAGTATTCCCTTATCTTGTCGAGAAAGAGTTTCTGTATTGGATCCAGTTGTGCTGCAGATGTGAGAGAAATCCCTGTTAGTTGTTACACATAAATATGCAGTAATTCTAAAATGTCAATATTAGCCAGAAAGCTTTCACTATGTGCTTTGATAATAAAATTCAGATTAGAATTCTACTGCACTGCAATATTTATAGGCCTACCTTCCAATTAATTATAACTTATCCCAATAAAAGTATTTGCATTATGAAAAGCAAACAGGCAAAAAGAGAAAAAAGATCCATAATAATAAAGGATGTCAAGAGACAGGCATGTCCATCCTCTTGTGGTAAAGATCAGAATTGCTCAAAAGAAACCCACAGAGCAAACCGTGCTGATTCAATACAGGCATCAGTGTGAGCAAATATTTGTGTTATGGGAAAATGTTTACAGAAGCCGTACACATATAAACTTGCACTTCGTTGTTACAGCAGGTCAGTTCTTGAATTTAGACATCCATCAGATTAGAGACTGAAATCCCTTGCTTATGTTTGTGTGGCATGGCACGTCTTTTTGTTTATTTTAGGGGGGAAAAAACTTTAAATACTGCTAAAGCTAACATCCCAACTGAGTAAAAACAGAATGCAAAAGAATTCTAGTTCTAAACTATGTAATGAACTTTAGTATTTTCTGCAAAAATAAATACATTTAAAAAAAAAAAATAGATAAGCAGCAAACATAACAAGAAACAACCATAAACAAAAATTATGAGTCTGTCGCACTATAAAAACTTAAATGCAAAGTAATTATGCAAGTAAATGTGTTTCAACAATGAATTCCATAAAATTATGCATTTCTGAAAATTGCATAGTTTGTGAATTTTAACTTTATGATAATATATAAATAACATTTGCAATATCTTGGGAGTAATTTCCCACAAATAACTGTCAACAAAAAATTGGGAGGGTGCATAAACAACAACAAAATATTCTTATTTTTGTAAGATTTATGTAGGTATTGAATGCAGGAAGTGTGAAACGTACCCTCAGTTAACTCTTCAGTTGCCTCTGCCTGATCCTCTTCCTCTAAAACCTCAGTTTGCACTAGAATTGCATCCGATAGATTGATAGATCTTTGAGCATCGCCAGACATTTCTGACATAGCATCTACAGCCTTACTTAGAGAGGCAGATGTGGTCTCAACAACAGGAAGATGCTCAGTTGATTGAGGTGAAGAGACTTCTGGGATGGTGCTAGAGACCTGAATGGCTTCTTCACGACAAACTTCTCGAAGGGTTGGAACTTCACCAGAGGCAACAACCACAGCTTCAGCACTGGAAATATCTAGTATGGAGTTAGCTGTGCCATCTGTAAAAGACACAAGTGCCTGAGTGATGATCTCTTGGCCAGATGATGGTTTGTCTGCTTTGACATTTGAAGACCAAGTGGGAGCTAGAAAGCCTTGAACTTGAGTGGATTGAGGCTGTGAGGAGTCCTGTGATTGTGCTACGTTTACCAAAGTTGATGCATCGGTTACTGCAACCACTCCTGAAACATCAGAAAACTCCTGTAGATGACCGTTCTCATGCGCAGATGAAGCTTCAGGAGATGCCATCACTTTGGAAGGCCCCATAACATCAGGCATGTAAACTGTTCCATCGCTAGTTTCTCCTGCATGTTTTTCAGAGGCAGAAGCAACATCCTCAGAAGATGGAATGGCTTCTGAGGGGTTTGTTGAAGACGGCTCAGAAACTTGACTGATATTTGTACTGATCTCTCCTTGAGCTGACGCCTCTTGTGGTGCATTAATTGTGGGTGATTCAGCCGACTCAACAGCTTGGGATGCTGCATATTTTGTATTCAACATTTCAGTGTATGCCTTATTATGCAGACTTGCTGTATAACCATCCACAGCATCTTTTGTTGGAAGGGTGCTGGTAGAAGTTTGAACTTTTGCATTTGAAATAATAATTTCTTTGGCATCACTCTGGTCCTTCAATTTATGTGGTGTAGCAGTGGGTTTGGTTGGACTAGTAGCAGCTTTCAATGCAGAAGCAGTGATAACTGATTGTTTCTTCTCTTTGGTCTCCTTGGCATTTTGCTGCAGTAATTTGGCAATATCGTTTATAGTTTTTGGTTTCGCTTTCTCTAGGGTAAAGACAACATTATATTAATGCACATAACAAAAGCAAGAAGCAAAATCACTCAAATAACTTGCTGAAGAGTAATGCAGAATAAGCCCTTTTAAATTCTGTGCACAAACCAAGTCAACATGTAAAAATTTAAATAAAGTTACCAAAAGGGGGATTTTGCCATGCTGCAACAAGAACATTTTTGGTTTCCCAAAGAACCTTTCACTTAAACTATGAAGAACATTTTAATAATCTGAATAACCTTTTGTGGAATGGAAAAGTTCCAGGGATGTTGAAGGTTCTACATTGAATCGTAGATGATGCCAAAAAGGAAACTTCATTTTAAAGAGGTGCCTCAATATTCCTAAAATAAGACACCACACAACAAAAAGTCAAAGTGCAATAAAAATCATAACTTACTTATACTTGTATATCTGATAGGCTTCTTTACATTATTGGCTTTGGTGCAGAGTGGTGTCAATGGAGGAACGTTCTTTCGAATCCAACTATCCAACCAAAGGAACTGAATTAAAGACACACAAAGTCATTTAATTTAAATTCACAGCTTCAAGCAATACTACCCTGCCATTTCTACATTAGCTGACATCTGAACAAGACATTTGTAAAGAATTGGACTAAGCTGTACATATTCTTGTAATAAAGGGGCCAGTTCAAGAGGTTTCTGCACTTTCCATGAATTTGAGACTTTTGGTTACATTTAAAAAAAAAAAAAAAAAAAAAATTACAAAAATAACGTACTAATTACTAATTTACTTTTGCCACCTATCAAAATGATGGGTGTCAACCCATTTAAAAAATTTTTTATTTGTGGTACACAAACAAAATATATACACAAATAAACAAACAAATCAATCAACTTTTTGTTCAAAATGTACATCGTTTTCTACAATGGATGACATTGCAATTCAATAGATATTATTCCAGTCCAGACAACTAAGGTGAGAGGGAGGGCTCATGCTGTAATTTTTCATGCTAGTTTAATTTCATATTAGACAATAGTTTATGAAAACCATTTAAAGGAGTCATATGATGCAATTTCAATTTTTCCTTTCTCTTTGGAGTGTTACAAGCTCTTGGTGCATAAAGAAGATCTGTAAAGTTGCAAAGACTAAAGTCTCAAATCCAAAGAGATATTCTTTATAAAAGTTAAGAGTCAACCACGCCTACCTAAAAAGGCTCTTTCTGTGGGAAGATTTGCATAATGCCGCCCAAATGTTCACGCAAAGAAAGAAGGCGTAACTTTTATTCTCGATGTAGTATTGTTGTTGCCGCCGACTTCGTGCTGTAGATCGCCGGATAGGCTTTCACCGTGGACGAAGCAGAGTCGCATGTGGTTGCCTCAAGCCCGCCCGCCGCCGCTCACTCAAGCCGGCCTCCGGCCTCCGCTCACTCTAGGCCGCCGTGTGTGACGCTGTGCAGTGTGTGACGCTGTTTCGTTGTGAAAGCGAAACTACTTAGTTTGGCCTTCGACATGGTTTTATAAAAGACAGTATAAGTCATTATTATCAGTAATCATGTCCCCACTGGACGCAACAAATGCCTCGTTTATAATGGGTTTTAATGTTTTTGTCTTGTCGCTCCGGGACACAGGGCATCACAGTATGGTGAGGGGCGTAACATTTCCGTCTCACACTTGAGGTATTCGGCCAATCACAACGCACTGGATAGCTGGCCAATCACAGCACACCTCGCTTTTTCAGACCGATGAGCTTTGTAAAAATCGACGCGTTTCAGAAAGGCGGGGCATAGAGGAGAAACAATAACGTACAGTATGTGGAAAATAATTAAACCGCATAAACACATTTCATTACACCAAATACACAAAATAATGTTCTTTTTAGCAACATCATATGACCCCTTTAATTCTTCGTGCCAGTATTGATTTTAAAACAAGTACTGGGTGAGCAAGTCCTGGAATTTACTTTAAAAAAAAAATTGAATTAGCTTTCAACTTGAGTGACAGTCGTGAACACGTACCTTCAAAACCCTCAGTCGCCGGATCCTCTGGAAGGACATTATCGCAAAAACATCCCACAGAAGTCGCTGGCTTTATGATGGAAGAGTAAACATAGTTACTTAAGGAGGACAGGGAACGTGCAGAACAAAATACTCGAGTTTACTCTCACCAGAAACAAGATGCAACATTCGTACACAATATTCGTGACAATATATAAGGCCTTGTGTTAATCCAAAGTGTTTTTACCCTTAGTGTTGCTCTCTTTCGACTCATCGACCGTGTGTTTTTCATAGACACCGCTTGTTTACGTCCACCGCAAATCAGGACATGCCGTTCAATGGTCGTTAAAATTGGATTCACCGGTTCTCATTTAACAACCTCTATAGACGATAAAAGCAGGATTACTGTGCAATAAGGAGAAAATCATACATAAGGATAATTCGTTTTTTTTTATTTATTGTTCCGTGAAGCTTAAAGACGTTGCGTAATCGCACTGACACGCCTCCTGTCCGTAGTATGTCGTTTTCTCTATTCTCAGTTCTCACAATGTAAAAAAATAATAATAATAGCCATTAGAAAAAGGTAAAATACGTTGATAAATGGGCTGACGTGAAGACCGTGGCATTCTTTTGACAAAACATATTCGTTTTGACAGCATAATTGAGGAAACTGCTTGCAACGAAAAAATACTACTTTGCATTACATCTTGGTCCAATTGAGTTTTATTTGCAACATTAAGACAACACACTGCTTCTACATTGATAACAATACGCTGTCATCAACATATTTACTTCTCAGTTTGTAATATATTATACTCCATTTAAAGTTTTAAACATAGACACATATATTACTGTTCAACCAACGGGGCTTTGCTCATTAAAAAACTAATGAAGGTATGGGCAAATCTTCTGGTCTGAAATGTACAGTGTGCGTGATAAGAGATGAGGGAAGGAGAGAAATAGAAGAGGGGACAAAACAGCGGAAAAAAGAAAAGATGTGTGACCGTGACCACGACCCCTTGCATTGTCTGGAATATTCTTTGAGATGAGGTTTGGGGAAAGTGACCCGGCAGAAAGCATTCAAAGCACTAAGAATCACTCTTTCTCATATATACACACACACGTGTCTGGTTTGCTATCCTTATGGGGACTCTCCATAGGCGTAATGGTTTTTCTACTGTTCAGACCGTATTTTCTATTGTCCTACACCAACCCTACACCTAAACCTACCCCTCACAGGACACTTTCTGCATTTTTAGATTTTCAAAAAACTTAATTATGTGTGATTTATTAGCTTGTTTACCCGTGGGGACCTCAATTTAGGTCCCCACCGTGACACGAGTCCCCATGAATCTGTGTGTATTCAGGTTTAAGTCCCCACCAGAATAGAAAAACAGGTACACACACACACACAGAAAAACCAAGTGGAATAACTTGCTGGCCCCACAATAGCTGTTTTCCTTGATCACTCTGGGATCTCACTAGCACAGCAGTGGAATATTAATGTGTATATTGCATCTAGACAGGGAAACACACAAATTTAACAAAACTGATCCCCTGCTACAGTCCAAAAGAAAACGGCACCTTTCTCAGGCTCAGTAGTGTGATAACTGAGGGCAAATTAATAAGACAGACACAAATTCAACATATTTCATCATCTATGTAAAAACAGTGGGCTCTTTCTATGACAACTGAAGAACTGAAGACATTTGCAGCAGATATGGATGAAGATTGATCCCTTTTGCTCACTGGTTCATTGTTTCAACATCGTTTCTACATGCTGCAACTTACCAAACCTTTAACACTACAAACCATCTTGCTATTTTTCTGCAAATAAACAACAAAAAAGTATGAACTCTGACATCTCTTATTTTTACAAATATGACATAACTACAGTGTTGATCGCTAATGCCTAACAACAGCACAAGAATAATAAACAAAAACATAACATACATAAATCAAAAACAAACTGTGAACTTATTAGTAACGCAGTATCAAACTTAAATATAGTACTATATATTAAATAGTTTACTTTGTGATGTACCACAATAAAACTAAGAACATCAGGGGAACTGAAGAACATCGATTTTTTTGGGAGGCCTTTTAGGGACATCTGACAAATATATGTTTGTTTTTTTAATTAATTATTCGATTAGATTTTTTGCTGGGAAATGCTTCAGCTATGATATTTCAGTTGGCCTCTGAGATGTGTCCCATTCTCAATAACATAAAAATAAATAAAAGCTACATGACAAAAAACGCTGAAAAACAAATATAACAATTTCCCTCCCATAATTCATTTTGTTTATATTATAATAGTCTTTCCATGGAGCATTTGTGGCTGTATCTTTTCGAGACTTGCTGAAAATTTCCCTGAACATGCTCACGTTTAATGAACCCTCAAAAAAAACAAAAAAAAACATCTCGACTACATTCAGTTGTTGAACGGTCACCAAATATCTTTCAGTAAAATTGGAAAAGAAATAAATGAGTCGGTTGACACTAGAGAGGTTTGCCAGCAAAACCTGGTTTTAGTTTTTAGTGTTAATGACTGAAATTATGGAATAAAATGCTGAACAGCCAGTAAGACTATTAGGGTGAATCTCACAAAAACATGTCCAGGTCACACCAAAATACTAGTATTTTGCATTAAAATATGACCTATTTCAGGACCATTATATTTTATGATTCTCATTACTGTAATCGAACAATTTTTAAAATTACGATTAAAAAAAAAAAGTAAACCTGCATAAATTAAAAGCAGTACAACAAATATTATAAATACGCAACAATTTAAATAATATATCAGCATTTTTTCACATTACAGTTATGAGAATTATATATATTTTTTGAATTATGCAAATAAAGGTTTCATGAGATTCACCCATAATGACGGATTTCACTGGAATGGCACATCATTTGGAACGTGTCATCATTCTAGAATGATTCTGTGTATTCTAGAATGAATGGCACTTTCATTCTAGAATACACAAATGGCACTACTGCTCCCGGGTCATTAGAGTGTTAAATACAACTACTGTATGTTTGACTCTTTAAGACTTACACAGCATCCTGAGACATCCTTCACATCATTAGGGAACTGAAAGGTTCCCTCTACAGTACATCCTTCATTTTCACTCACACACTTGTCTTCAAAAGGTATCAAGGACAAAAAAAATCCAATCGGGTTCACTGATTAAGACTGTTACAGCATTTTGCAGACTCACAAACGCTTGTGCAAATACACACATTCACACTCTGGGATTCATGATGCTGGGTGGAGGGCTGGTGGGCTTTCACCACGGAGGAGTAGCGGATATGGATTCTAGGGGTCAAAAGGTCAGGCCAAACAACGTGGGTCAGGGTTCATCAAAGAGCTGAAGGTCCAGTCGCACCACAATCTCTCCCGTAGGGACTTCGTGTAAAAGCAGTCGCTTGGTGATGGGCCCCTTAGAGCCCTGGTCCTTCTTGATGTCGGCCAGCCGAATCTCCGTCCTGCCCAAGAAATCTACAAAGATGAAGAGAGAGAAAGACAAACTTTAAGTGGTTATGATTATAAATTACCTTTCAACAGTTTGGAGTCTGTAAGATTTTTTTTTAAAGGTTTTCGAAAAAAGTCTCTTATGCTCATCAAGGCTGCATTTATTTGATCAAAAATACAGTATAAACAGTAATATTCTGAAATATTTTTACAATTTAAAATAACAGTTTTCCATTATAATCAGTTTTAAAATGTAATTTATTCCTGTAATGGCAAGCGGATATGGATTCTAGGGGTCAAAAGGTCAGGCCAAACAACGTGGGTCAGGGTTCATCAAAGAGCTGAAGGTCCAGTCGCACCACAATCTCTCCCGTAGGGACTTCGTGTAAAAGCAGTCGCTTGGTGATGGGCCCCTTAGAGCCCTGGTCCTTCTTGATGTCGGCCAGCCGAATCTCCGTCCTGCCCAAGAAATCTACAAAGATGAAGAGAGAGAAAGAAAAACTTTAAGTGGTTATGATTATAAACTACCTTTCAACAGTTTGGAGTCTGTAAGATTTTTTTTAAAGGTTTTCGAAAAAAGTCTCTTATGCTCATCAAGGCTACATTTATTTGATCAAAAATACAGTATAAACAGTAATATTCTGAAATATTTTTACAATTTAAAATAACAGTTTTCCATTATATTTTAAACTGTAATTTATTCCTGTGATAGCAAAGCTGATTTTTCAGCAGCCTTTATTCCAGTCTTCAGTGTCACATGATCCATCAGAAATCATT